CTGCCCTTCCCTGCTGACCTGATCAACCACAACTGCCCTCCCCTGCTGGCCATCTTGTGGCAACCATCTTTGACCATATGGGAGTGGCCATCTTGTGTGTTGGAGTGATGGTCAATTTGCATATTACCTCTTTATATAGGATTGTATTGTGGGTACTTCCCACGCCCTTAAATAGAGCTTCCACAGTGTTTTCATTCCTCACTGATGGGCTGTTGGACTTGTCCTCAATGAAATTCTTCAGGAATAGGTCATGCCCAGTTACAGTTCTTCAGGAGTGGTCTGCTTTGTGAGAGAGATGGACTTGGTGTCTGGAGTAGGAGTCCTTGTGCTTTGGCATTCTGATCCCACCTGCTCCACTTGGTTCCAAGGTAGCAATTGGCCTACATTCTCGCAGAGTTATTTCGGTCTTCTGTTTCTACCTTCCTACACTCCCTAGCACACCCTTTCCTTCACCCCAAATCCCACTTTGGGCAACCATCCAAAGCTGGGCAGGCATTTTTGCCCAGGTCCCCTTCCCCCTCACTTTTCTGAGAAACCCTGGCAGGACCTAGCTAATTCTATGGTGGCCCAACCTGACCCAACTCTTCCTTGAGTCTGCCTGTGCCACCCAAGAAGCTCAGCCATGGCAGGCGTCCCTTAAGAAGCTGGCATTTTGACTTGTAGCAGGTACCCTTTGCGTGGGGATGTCCCAAAGCAAATGAGGCATACCGCAGTGGTCTGAGCAGAGCCCTGCGTTCCGGGACAGAGATGTGGGGTTATGGTACTCTGATGGTCTACTGAAACTAATAGCTTTTCTTCTCTATTATTCATGTTTTGACTCCGGACAGTCCTGGGAAGTACTTGGGGTGAATGTTATAGAAATGATCTCCAAGCACTAACAGTGGGTGCTGGGTATGAGGTAGGTTCTTGCTTGGCTAGATGGATTCACAATGAGCAAAGACATGCAGTTGTAGCGAGTCTGCACTTGATTCTACTCTAGATCCACCTCTATCTGGCTGTGGTCTTTAGATGAGCCAGTAAACCAGGTGGCTTATGTAAACTCAAGGATAGGGTTCCGCAACGTGGGGATGACAGGCCTGGGATGTAAGCGTGGGGTCCCTGGTGTCTGGGAGGCAGCCAAGTGCAGTAGCTGTAGCACGGGCCTCAGAGCAGGCAGAGCTGCTGGAGGGCCCGGCATCATTGTTCCACCAGAGGGACCTTAGTCCAGTCACTGAACTGGCTCTGAGACTTTTCCACATGTGTGAGGTGACGATGAATTTCCAGCCTCCAGAAATTATTAGAATGATTAAATGAGAATGCAGGTGTTAAAGAGAAAAAAAAAAAAAAAACACACACCACAGGCCCCAAATGGTGTCACTCTAGTTAAAAGCCCATGATACCAAACCTAGATTTAAGACCTGATCTAATTGTAGTCCCAACCTCTCCCAGAAACAATCTTAATCAACCAGCAGGGAATTTTCTGGTCAAGGACCGGTAAGGTAATATGTCACATAGGCCCTCTCCATCCCCCATAGAAAGAAGAGGCAACCTATATAATAAAACCTTCCCCTTCTCTTTCCTCCAAGGAAAAGGTGCACCCCTTCCCTCCCCCCACACACAAGTAATCCTTTTCTTTCTGGCTATTAGCTCTCTTGTCCCCAACCCAGCGGCTGGCCCTCCATTTTGTACATGGAGCACCCTTCTCATTGCTAATTGGGATGCTTTCTGAATTGTTTAATAAAATCAACTAGATATTCAGATTTACTTGGTTACATTTGTAGTTTTCTTTAAATATTTTTTAAAAATTGATATTTAGAAAGAGAGGAAGGGAGAGGGGTAGAGAGATAGAAATGCTGGGGATCTAGCCCACAACCTGGGTATGTGCCATGACGGGGAATTGAACCGGCGAGCTCTTGGTTCCTGGGTCTACACTGAACTGCTGAGCCACACCAGCTGGGCAAGTGCTTGCTTTGTTGTTGCTGTTGTTGTAACACAGGTAAACTGCCTTGTGTTCCATAAACAGTAGCTCTTAATATTATTTCCATCATTAGTGTCTGAAAAGGGTATCCTAATATCTTGGGGAAAAGGGAACCTTCCGCTTTGCCTACGCGCCTACCTGGAATGGAAATCCACTCAGCTAATGAGCCTTCCCTTGGGCTGCTGGGGCAGATTCTCAGCCCTGCCTTTGTGCCGAGAGCGGCCCAGCTGGGCTGGCATGGCCTCTGAGGCGGTTCCCCCACCCCCAGTTGCCGGTCTGGTTTCTTTCACCCTCACAAAAGGCCTGGCAGAGCTGCCTAGCAGAGTCAATATCTCCAGGGTCCCGTGGGACAGGAGCAGCCCACGGTAGCCATGGCTGCTTGTTCAGTCCCCCCTGGTTTCCCTTGCTCCAACTCTCCCCTAGGACTCACTCCTCCTGAGCCTTGTGGCTGGTCTGAGGCCCTGGAGTCTGACTGGTGAGGTGCACACCTGGGCACCTGGCTCTCCTCCAGTCAGAAGGACCTCAGCAAGGCCCACACAGCCAGGTGGGCTGCTATCGTCCCGGCCCACGGCATTGTGAGGAAGCTGTTCCTTTGGGCAGCGTTGGGTTCTCATTCGTGCTAGTTTTTCTTTCCATTGCTTACATTGGTGTCGAGTGGAGGGGCAAGAGTACCAGCTTGGGGGGCAGGTGGCCCTCCATTTAGATGGCCTGGCAGGTACTTCTGGGCCAGGCACCGGAGGGAGCATGGTGCCAAGAGCTTTGCAGAGATCAGAATGATCTCAGGAGCCCTCATAGCATCGCCATCAGGGGCTCCTCCTAACAGAGGCGCAGGCTCAGAGCATGAAGTGACTTTCTCAAGCAGCACAGCCAATGGGGGCTGTGGAGGCAAGGAGGGAGTCCATGAGAGAGGAAGGAAGGAGGGAGATTGCTTCACCATCTTGCCCAGAGCCTGACTCACAAGGGATTTAGCCACATCCTTCCTAGAGGGGAAGTCAGCAAGGACCGAATGGAAGGTTTATGAAGATGCAAGGGAGCCTTCCCCAGGAAAAACACATCCTAACAGGATTTCTGTCAGGGAGCAGGAAGCCAGTGAGGATGCCTTTTTGGGTGGTCCCAGCAGCCATTTAATTCAGAACCTGTGTTTGGATCCCAAGGAGCTCAGGCCCCTGAAGTCACGAACACCAGAGCCGAACTCAGCCTTATGAGTAATAAGACCATGAAGGCGGCGTCCCTGATTCCTGTGGTTGCCAGTTAGTTTTAATTTTTTTTATATTTTATTAATTTTTTACAGAGAGGAAGAGAGAGGGATAGAGAGTTAGAAACATTGATGAGAGAGAATCATCTATCAGCTGCCTCTTGCACAAGCCCTATTGGGGATGTGCCCACAACCAAAGTATTGTACATGTCCTTAACTGGAATCGAACCCGGGACCCTTCAGTCCAGAAGCTGACGCTCTATCCACTGAGCCAACCCCGTTTTGGCTAGTTTTAATTTTTGAATGAATGAATGAATGAATGAATGAACAATTCACACGCAAGAGCCTTGCTCCACCAGCAAATGGCACCTTCAGCAGTGGTTTTCCTGTTTCCTCTGGCATGTGATTCCCGCACCCTGCAGTGTTTCAGCAGCTTCCTCTTCCCAGCTCCTGAAGAACCTGCTTCTCCCTCTCTCGGCTTCCTCCCCGGCTTCCTGTGTTGCCAAGCCTCTTGCAGTTGTCATCATGTCTTCAGAAAGCAGCGGATAGGTACAGGAAGTTGCTCCAGACAGGAGATGAAACCAGCAATCAATTAAAGAAAAAAAAAAAAAAGACTATGCTTCTAAGAAAAATGCATCACCGGCTTCCCGCAGGACTTACGTACCATATGTCCTAATATCCGTGGAACAATGCCTCTCCTTTTTAGCTCTTTCTGCTTGGCTCTCCTGGCCATCTCAACGAGAAAAGGAAATGGACCTTTTAACCGGCGGCTGCCCAGCTCACCGATGATTTATAGTAAATGAAGGCCTTTCCTTTTAACCCTTTCACCAGACACGTCCCTCCAGCTTGCTTTCTCCTGGCTACTCGCTTAGTATATTTATGGTGCATGAGTCACCAAGCTGTCGCCTGATTGGATGAAAACCAAGCACCCCTGAGACCATCCGTCAATTACAGCTATTCTCAGCTCCATTCACAGATTTATTAGCTTGCACACACACACAGAGAAATTCATTCAGCGAAGTTCATTCATAAAAATTTCAACACTCTGCGTACCATCATCCCGCACATCTCAGCCTTCCGCAGCCGCCGCCGCCGCGCTCCCGAAAGAAGCTCCGCGAGGGAGGGATGCTCTGGGCCCGGCGGGCCGGCGGGGAGGGGATGCGCGGGACTCGGAGGGACCACAAGTCCCTGAAATGATGCCGGGCGGCTCCGGTCACTAGGACTCCTGGCTGGTGGCCCGGACGGAATGCAAGACAAGATCTTCCAAGAGAGGGCAGCCATTAGAATCCAGAAACTCAGGCAGAAAGCCCGTTGGCTCCTCTAGACCTTTTCTTTCCTTTTTTTCTTTTTTTCTTTTTTAAATGGGCAATCACCGGGACAAAGGGTTAATAGGCCAGTCATTGCCCCGCCCTGTGGGAGCCGGAGGGAGCAGGTTTGAAAGTTCCTGTGTGCCGAGGGGCGGCTGCGGGTGGGGGCGGGGGCGCTGAGTATCTCTGCAACCTCCTCCTCCTGCTCCGCGGGCGATGCTGCGGGGCCGGCTGGCCGGGGCCGGGCCGGGATCCGGTCCCCAGAGTTGGCCTTGAGCCATCCCCGCCCGCCGGGACCCAGCCCAGGCTTACCCAGCCAGGAGTCCAGGCGAGAGAACCCCGGGTGCTGAAGGACTGGAAGCCGGGGAGCCGCCTGCCCTCTCGGCTGTCACCCCCTGGGGCTCGGCCTCCGAGCCGAAGAGGTGGCCACGGGGCGCGGGGACATTGGCTTTCGCACCGGTCGTCTATCCAGCAGGTCATCTATCCAGCAGACGAGGCGGCGGTTCATGCAGCAGGACCCGGTGCCGGCCCCGCCAAGGCTATGCGAGAACGCAGCCCGGACGGCTTGGCAGGACTCGCGCTGCATGTAGGGCTGCTCGGGCACCCCGGGATGCTGCACAGGGCCAAGTACAGCCGCTTTCGGAACGAGTCCGTCACGTCCCTGGACGAAGGCAGTCCCGGAGGCTCCTCCGTCGGAAGCAAGGGCTCCCCGCAACCCCCCTACCCCGCACTGGCCCCGCACCTGCCGGCGGAAGATGCCCCCTCGGCGCCCCAGGAGAGCCCCACCCCACTGTGCACCTTGATCCCGCGCATGGCCAGCGTGAAGCTGGCCAACCCGGCCACCCTGCTGAGCCTGAAAAACTTTTGCTTGGGGACCAAAGAGGTGCCTCGGCTGAAGCTCCAGGAGAGCCAGGATCCGGCTCCTAGCAGCCCGGCCTCGCCCGAACACAGTCTGAACAGGTCCGGGTCTGCCCCTCCGCAGCAGCAGGACTTGGTGGGGCGCCGGGCGAGCGCCCGAACTCCGGATGCCTGCCCCTTCCCGGGCCCCGGGGAGCCGGCCGCGGGGAGCAGGCCGGACAGGCACTTCCTGCAGCACCTGTTGGGGATGGGCATGAACTTCTATGTGAAGGTGAGTCCATTTCCGTCTCCCTCTCGGCAGTCCTGCGGGCTCCTGGGGACAGGGGGGCATCTTTCCTGCTTTCTGCAAGGGGCCACACAGCACCGGGCGGAGGGCGAGGTTTGGATCAGACACTGTGCAACTGGACCCAGGGCAGGAGGGGAGCCGGGCTTACAGGCTGTATTGGAGTCGGATAACTTTGGTTCAAGGACATGAACTAGTGCTAACTTATGGTAGTTGCCAGGTGTGGGGGCAACTTCTGATGGGACAGCGGAGATAGCGCCTTCTTGTCCCCACTGGACCTAGCATTCTGGCCAAGAAGAGACCAGCATTTCCAATCTGATTAGCGATTGAGACCTGGTCGGTTATACCGGCCATAGTACTTCAGTAGGGATTTCTGTGCTAGAGGAATACGTGCTGTACCTTGAATTATGCTTTACATTTTAATTTAGCATTTAACAAGCACTTCTCAAAACACGGCCAAGTCTCTAGTCTTGTCTGAGGAGCTGGTCTTAGGTCTTCGGTGCCCATTTTTGCATGTATTGCCTACATTGAGGCAAGTGCGACCTGTCCAGGAGCCGTGTGCAAAATCAAGGTCCTTGCTGGCTTTGCACCTGCTCTTGCCCAGTCCAGATCTGGGTGAAAGTAGTAGATTTGGTCCTGTCCTTCTGGAGCTCACATTTCAATTGAGGAGATCGATGAATGCCTGTGCAATAAAAAGAGAGATATAACTAATAATAGATACCTCGTGTGAGAATGCTGAGGGGATTCAGAAAGATGGAAGGTTGTGATCTGGGATTCATTCAGGAGACACATTCAGAGGAAGGTGCATCTTGGGAGAGAGAACACATCTGGATTGGTAGAGGGGAGGAGACTCCCACCTGGGCAAGAATGTGAGCACAGCCTAAAGGCAGGTGTCGCTGTGGTGGCCGCAGGTCAGCATCACAGAAGCCGGGCTCTCCTGAGAGAAGGCATGCTGGAGGGCAGTGAGGGGGTCATAGAGAGGCTGGTACCTAGCTGGTGCTCAAACAAATGTGAGTCAAAAAGAGGACAGAACAGATCAGGGGTAGCTTGGGGAGAAGGGAGCAGTTGACCAAAGATCTTAGATGCCAAAGGAGGAGTTTTTAAAACATTGACTAGCAAACAAGATGCCTTGTAGGTTTGTAAGCACACTGTGACTTCACCAAAGTGGTTTCAAAAAGATCAACCTGTGATGAGAGCAAGGAGATGAATGTGAGAGAGACTGTGAGAAGCCTCAGCAGTGTTGGGTGATGGATCAGATCATGTTAGATCATAATACAAATCACAGAATAGTCAACATTTATGGAGCAGTGGGCAGATGGGTGAGTTTGTTCTTGTTGTTTATGGGAGTTGAGGGGAAGGCTGATGAAGGGGATTGTGAGGAGTGAAAAGCAACTTCAGACTTAAGTCTCAGGATAAGAGTTGCGAAGCCAGTGACTTGGGAAGACTCATGCTGTGTTTGCCCATGTTACATGTAAAGTGATGTTATCCAAGTGGCACTTATTTGTAGGGAGGCTGCCACAGAAGACTAGCACTCAGGTGAGAAGTTTCATGTGAAGGTGTAAATTTCAGAGCTAGCCCGATAATTATATTATAAACAGGCAATTTAGATCTCTAAGAAGACCAATAATGAACATGGAGAGGGTTACAAAAAGAGCAGGCTTGGGGCAGCCTTGGAAAATGGATAATTAAAACCTCCAAGGAAGATACATTTATGGGACACTCAGCTCTTGCACTCCTCCACAATGATATGACTCATAATGGAAATAGCTCCATGTACCCACTAAAAGTTCATGGGCACAGTCTCATTTGCCAAGCTTAAGTGTCTGCTCGGTCCTCACAGGAAAATGACTGATTCTCCAAACCTATGGTCTTGCCACCTGCCTTCCCATCACCAAGATTTCCTCTACCTTCTGCTGTGCCTTTCCTCCCCTCTGTACCGCCTCCCACCACCCCACACCCAGGCACCACCTGTACCATTTTAAACGTGGAAAGAGTTCTGTGTGCTCTCCACTGTCCCTGGGGAATGCTTCCACTGGCATTTTACATTTTTAATGAGAACACCATCTGTCTTTCCTGGCGATAACAACTGACCCCCAGGAAAAGGGCTGGCCCCATGACCCATACTATTTTGCCATTAGACAGTGATGTGAGATACCAGTTGACACCTCTCTTAGGAAGTCAACATATACACAGAAGAGCTAACTTTAATAATTTTTATAGAATCCTAACTTTGAAAACTGGCAGGGGCTCAGAAGTTGTCAATTTCAATGCCTCCACAGAGAAAGTGAAGCCCAGATAAGTGATTTTCAAAGGCTACACAGAAGTCAAAAGGACAGTTAGATCTAGAACCCATGTCCCTTGTGTGCCATTCTTGGCCCTTCTCGCCCACAGGTTTTCTTTCTTTCTTTCTTTTTTAAAAAAATACATTTTATTGATTTTTTACAGAGAGGAAGAGAGATAGAGAGCTAGAAACGTCGATGAGAGAGAAATATCGACCAGCTGCCTCCTGCACACCCCCTACTGGGGATGTGCCCGCAACCGATGTACATGCCCTTGACCGGAATCAAACCTGGGACCCTTCAGTCCGCAGAACGACGCTCTACCACTGAGCCAAACCGGTTTCGGCTCACCACAGGTTTTCATTGTGGTTGAGATTTTGTTCCTCAGGATTCTTTGAGATGTGAACCATTTTACAAAAATGAAATGGAAACCTATTCATGTACAGTGAAAAATATCAAACCAAAATTGTAATCCCTCTATAGCAGTGGGATCATAAAATTATTTTTGTTGCTACTTCATAACTGTAATTTTGCTACTGTTAACGGATTGTAATATAAATATCTGTGTTTTCCAATGGTCTTAGGCTCTACAGCAGTGATTCTCAACCTGTGGATCATGACCCACAGGTTGAGAACTGCTAGCAGGGTCTCCTAAGACCATAATTTTAAGAAAATAATGTTATGGTTGGGGATTACCATAACATGAGGAACTGCATTAAAGGGTCTTGGCATTAGAAAAGTTGAGAAACACTGCTCTATAGGAACAGGCACATAGGAAGGTTACTCGGTGATGATGGAAGCAAGGCATAGAGGTGACAGAGATGTTCTTAATGGTGAGTGGCATAGGACAGATTTTATAGGCAAGAGGTAGCCACATATTTCACTTCCTCATTGGCATCATATGACTGCCCCACCTCCCTGCCAAAACTTATTTGTTCATTCATTCACTCATTTATTCAACAAATATATATTGTGAACCAATTTATGTGACAGGAACTGTTCCAGGCCCTGGGGATACATATGCAAATAAAGAGACCAAGGCTGGGCCTTGTTGGAACTTACATTCTAGGGAGTAGAGAGGGGCCCTGGTTGAATGTTAAATAAACACGTCAATACAATATGTCATGTGTAGTAGGTGTTAAGAGAGCAATACAGCAAGGGAAGTAAGAAGGGCAGTGGTCTGGGTGGAGGTGGCAGGTATATTTGGGGGAGGGGGGCGTTAAAAATGGCATAGTTCATTTAGTTTCCTTGCACGTTTAATAGGAACTGTATTTGCCCTCTACTCTTAAGTTACAGTTGACTTTGGGTTAAGTATCCTTTTTAAAAATGACTATTCTTTTGGCCTCTTGATGTAGAATCAGCTATACAGCTGAAAATACTTCAGAAATCCTGAGCACCTAATTTGGAGTCACTTTCATTTAAGCTCAGGCCTTGAACATCCTGGAGGTCACTCAAGGGAGATGGCTAGCAAATCATCCTCTGAGAGGCATTGGGCCAGACACAGACAGCCAGGTCTGAGCAGAGGAGTGAGGTGAGTGAAGTCTGCTCCACGATGCCAAACGGTTTACTTTCCACATAAGATTCAGTCTCCTTTCTTCCTGAGGTCTCCCCAAGTCACTTCACCCATCAGCAGACATTCACCTGGAGGCCTCCCAGCTGCCCCACGGGTCTGTGGTGAGTGTGGAGAACATACAGCATGACGGGTGGGCTCATCTCCAAAATGGGCGGCTTGGTCTTCATGGCCTTCGCGGTGCCCCCAGTACCAGCATTGAATGACCCGAGGCTCCTTTCTCCTGTGGGAAGTGTTTAAACTTTCCTGTCACCAACCTCCTAAATGGCCTGTAATTTAGTTCAAAGACTGCATAAAGCAAAGACAAAGAACAAGCCTGCTGCGACAGGTGAGACAGGTGAGCACAGTCGTTCTCACACTGACCCTCAGAGGGAGGCTGTCTTCTCCAAGTGAGGGCACTGAGACCCCAAAAGTAGCAGACAGGATTCAAACCCAGGTTTGTCTCCCTCCACTGCTCATCTCCTCCCAGGCGTCCTGGAGGCGTGCAAGTGGAGTAGCGTGTGTGGAGTGGAGTAGCGTGTGTGGAGTGGAGGAGTGTGTGTGGAGTGGAGGAGTGTGTGTGGAGTGGAGGAGTGTGTGTGGAGTGGAGGAGTGTGTGTGGAGGACACACTGTGCAGAGGAGGTTCTTACAGAATGGTCCTTAGAGCTTGATGGGCCGCGTTCATTTGCATGACTTCAGTTTCCTCACTTCAGCTCAGCCTAGCCCAACCAATTCCTCTGACTGTGTTTGTGTCCTTGGGCTGCTGTGACAAGTGTCACCAACTGGGTGGCTCACAACAACAGATATTTATTCTCTTGCAGTTCCGGAGACTAGAACTCTGAGATCAGCAGTCCTTGGCATTCCTTGACTTGTAGATACATGACTCTAATCTCTGCCTCCTCTTCTCTCCTGTGTGTCCATGTTCAAATTTCCCTCTCTCATAAGGACACCAGACCCTGGGTTAGAGCCCATATGAATTCAGTGTGACTGCATCATACCTGATTACATCTGCAAAGACTCTACCTCCAAATAAGGCGACATTCACAGTTCTTGGGGTTAAGACTTCAACCTACCTTTTTGGGCGATGTAATTCAATCATAACAGTCTCCCAGAACATTAACTGTAATGTGTTTGCCCACATAGACGTTCTTGGGTATTG